GGGCTGCCGGGGGCCCCCCCCCCGGCCAGCCGGGGCGCGGCAGCCCGCGGGCACCTCTCGTCGGGAGAACTCGAACAAGGCTGGAGGAGAAACAAAAGCCAGCCCAGGCTGTGAACTACCGAATCTTCTCCAAATAGGCGAAGGCTGGTAAGATCAGCTGTGGCCACAAGCTGGCTTCTGTGTGTTCGCACCCACAAGAAGCAGAGTATAGTTTAGAAAGAAAATACCTCTTGAAGCGCAAGTCATAATCCCATCCCTGTTAACACCTGTGTGCCAGAGGCAGAGTACTATATAAAAACAGAAGGGCTCTGTGCATTCAGCCCCATCCGTGATACAGAGATAACGCACACCTATTAATAGCAGAAGAGGCCCCTACCAGATACTGGTTTTGGTTTGTTTGGTTAGTTTTTTGTTTTTTTTTTTCAAGTGAAGCTTAAAAAGAGCATTCAGAAATGTACACCATGCTACCCACTATATTGATAGACCTTCAGGATGCTGTTTCTTCACCTACCCAGAAAAGAGGTAAGCATATTTTCAACTTTAGCTTTAGGAAACTCTTACTACAAAACTGATTCTTCCCTAAAACACAAGTTATGTCCCAACTAAGTTCTTTATTTCTAAAACTGGTGATAGCACCTTACCCTATCCCCATAAAAGTCCAAATGTATTTTTTGGCAATAATCATATTCTGTATCCTTGTAATTTAATCAGTTGATCACTCAGCTCGCCCACTCAACAGTAATAAGCCATTGACCCTGTGGTTTCAGACTGGATCAATGCTATGCTTAAGTTTTGGACACCTGGAGGCCTTGTGCAAATAGGAAGAAACTCTTAACTTACTTTAGACGTGATAAATTTTTCCTCTGATGTGTTGATTACATTAGCAGATTGCCTTCCCTAGAAACCTTTGTCCAACAGCCTGCAGGCAATGAGTAGCATATGCTTAAGTTTCTTGCTGGAAATGGCATACTTAAGCCACTTGCTTGGGTATTTAAGGGTTTTCAGGTATATTATACAGTTCATTGTTCTCAGTCTGATTCACCTGCAGAAGCCTTAGCTGAATGTGGCCTGACAAGTGGCAGCGTAGACACTACTGCCTACTGTGCCTCCACTACTGATGCTGTTGGCTGGACACTTCAGAGGTTTCATACTGCTGTCTCTCTGGACATACAAATGTTCCAATCTCCAGCGCTCCCAGCTTTTCCGAAACTCCATCTGAACCTAACAGAATCAAAGAAAGAAAACAAAAGGAATGAATGTAGAACTAATCAAGATCTTTAAGTGACTCCACTAGAAAAGGGCAAGGAAAAATAAAGATACCAAACTACTGAGAAAAGTTGGCTATGCTTTAAACCTGTAGTATTATTGTTTCAAATTATCCTACTATCTCATGTAGGGTATTCTATATTTAAAATAATGACACAATTTACTTTCATTTGTAGAAATACAGCTCTTCTATGCACCAGGAAATCTTATCTTCATTATTTTATTCTAAATTGTATTCAGCTGCAATACTGAATGTACTCTATGCCCTACCACTACTAACAATTAAGCTGATTTTGCTTATCAGCTATGAAATGACTGTAAAGACTGGCTTCCTGCTCAATACTGTCACCACAGGTATCCTTAAGAGTTCCATTTTAACTTCTGGTTTGATTTAAACAGCATTATGTCTTGGATTATTTTTGTTCTCTGACTATTTACATTTTTTTATTCCATACAAAAATGAAGATTTATTCAGAATTGAAAACC